GAGGGGCTTCTGTCAGCTGCAATAAGGGCTCGAATACAATTCCCAGACCTGGGCAGCAGGAGAAATGCTGTCTATTTGCCCCAGAGCCTGGGCCCTAACGCGTGCCCGGGGCTCCAATCCCGTTTTAGCTTTAGCCCCAGCCTCAAACCTAACCCCCACCTCAGCTGCAGCTTCAAACACTAACTGGATCTTCTAGCCCCAGCTCCTTCCCCACATCTCAGCCCCAACGCGGAATCTTGAATTCCAATCTCAACCTCCAGCCTTATTTCCAAATCCAATTCCAGCCCCTGCTCCAAGTCCCAACCCCAAATCTGGCTTGAAACCTCAGCTCAAGTTCTTCACCCTAACCCCAGCTCTAGATTCTGGTATTAGGTCCTAGACCTTACCTTCACCCTCAGTGCCTACCTTGCCTCCCGTTCCTGGATCCAGCTCCCAAATCCTAAGTCCATCCTAAGTCCGAGCTCAAACCCTGCCTCAGCCCCAATTCCAACACCAGCTGACCTGCAAACCCAGCCACAATTCTCATCCTTTCCTTGGCGGTCCGGAGAATAACAAGCAGAAAGCACAGGTGGAACAGCAGGTCTTCTGTGGCTCCAGGCACTCTTCCCCACTCCCACACTCCGTGAGTGACAGTCCCCCAGACATGTTTTGGGGTATCTGTTCACGATGACCATCTTCACTGCAGAGACGAACCCCAGCAACCAGGAGTCTATTTTGTGATCCACCCCTTTGGGTACTGGTAGCCAATGGTGGGCACTCATAGGTCCACTGTTCAGAACTAGAACCTTGTCCCAATTTAATCCATTTACTACATCAGTTCACACAGTAGGTGCTTTGAATGTACTAGTCTACACTTGTTGCCCCTGCCAAATTTCACCAACTGACACATACTAGATGAGCAATACATTTGTATTAAATTCTTATACATGACCGGTCATCAGGTGATCAGGACCATTCGTCCTTCCTGCTGTCTGGTACAGAACAGGGTTGTTTCCTTGTAAATCTTCTCCCAGCCCAGCTCAGCTCAGGTGAGGCTGACAGCCTCTCAGACACACACAAAGCATAAGCAGGACTCCAAACATCTAATGGTCTAGGGGAGCTCACCCCAATAGAGCTCAGGGAGAATGAACCCCACTCTTGATCCTGACATACCTTCTCTCTCACCTCCCACTCCAAATCCAGAGCAATGAATGCAAGGGGGTCCTATGTGAACACACAGATATTCCCAGGCTCACCTGGGCCCCTCAGTCCCTCTTGACAGCAGCTGGTGGGTAATGGCTGGTTCTGCTTTGTGTGGGGAAAGGTAGACTAATGCCAGAACCTCCCAAGGGGCAGGGTCTTTGGTGCTGGGAGAACAGGATGGCAGACGAGGTGCAGCTGGGAGCTCATACCATCTGGCCACAGCTGATGCTGACTCTAGAAGATGGGCAGGGGAGCCAGTGGATGTCTGGGGCCCAGAGAGGGCAGCCTCCAAAGGCACCGATTGTCAGATCAGAATTGAACGAGTCCCCAGAGCTCAATGATGGACTGTAACCAGGACAAGAGTGGAGATCATATGCCAATGCCTCGCCACTTGAGTGACCAGTGAGGTTCCTAAGGCTGCTGCAGGAGAAGGTGACTGCCAGACCCATTCCATCAGTGAGGGGTCAACTGGCTGAAGGGACTCTGTGAAGGAGGAGGTGGCACCAGTGAAGTGAGAACCTCCCCATGGGATCAGGATAGGGAAAGCAGAGGGAGGTCTCAGAGGCAGCAGCCACCCAATCAATGCCACCAAAAGGTTGGCGTAGGAACATGGGAGACAGAACATGGAGAGGTAGACAAGATTGTACCTCTGGCCCAAGATTTGCTAGCATGAGGCTGTGATCATCCTTGTGCTGCCAATAAAACACCTTGCTGACCTGCTGGCCAAGGCACCAGGCCCTACTAGGGTGGGCCTCTCCTTGGCCTAGGCTTTCTCTTCCTCTTTGGCAGCTGGACCTCAGCCAACCACTGAGCTTAGCTGAGAGGTGTCTGCTCCTTTTACTTCTAGTTTAGATTCTCCAGGTGTCACAATCCTAAAACTGCCACCACTTGGCCCGGTGTTCTGTTTGGGCGCCTCTAGTGCAGGCTTAAGAGCATGGGATGTGGAGGCCATCGGGCAGATGGCCTGTAATCCTGGCCCCACCAGTGTGAGCCTGTGTCAGTGACTTCACTCCTCCGTGGTTCTGGTTTCCTCATCTTTAACCTAAGGCCCATCTTGTAGGCGAAATGTAATGTCTTGATTCTAGAGTATTTTTAAGTTGAAAAATCTGTCATTTGAGAGTTGCTACATCCTAGTCACAGTGAATTCATTTCCCTTGGCCCCTGAGAAGAGCCTCCGTTTCTTTTGGCATGTTCCTTCTTCCCGGTTCTTCTCCCCACCTCTTTGCGTGGCTCTCTCCAGTCCTAAAGTCAGGAGAAGTCACCTCTCTGCATCTCCACTGCTACCACGTTGGTTCCAGCGACTGTCCTCTCACATGTGGTCAGCCACAGTATCCTCCCAACTGGTCTCCCTGCCTCCACTATCAAGTCCTTCAATCAATGCTCTACTCGGATACCTGAGTGAACTTGAAAAACAGAAACAGCCTTTGTCTCCATGGAACTGGGAGCCAAGTAGGAGAGGCAGCATCGGACAACCGAGCAGGTATGTCACAGCGAGGATTATGAAGAAAACGATATGGTCTCTGTAATTTCGAAGAGGGAGGAGGGATCAGGGACTGTCATTCTGAGGAAGTACATTTCAGCTACTCTCTGAAGGAGGAGTAGAAGTTC